CAGACTCCAGGGAAAGTGGTATGTTTAAAGATTACAGTTTTCTTTCAGTAAAAGATACAAATGGAGAGACACAGATGACAAGGTCTGGGAGAGTTCCCAACACAAAGCTTCCAGGTCTCAGAGGGCACACTACCTCCCAAGTACATTGATGCCTTTCACCAACCAGGAAGCTCACAATGACCTCAGTGACTAGAGCTTTTCCTGGGCCTTGTTACACAATGCAAACCCCAACCCCTATGCCCAGAAGTCAGTCAAGATCAGAAGATGATTTCTCTGATCTTGTCCTGTGAAGAGGTCATCATGAGGTAAGTCCCTCTGGCTTGGCTAGTCCCACATCCCAAAGTCACATCTTGCCTAACCTCTCCAATCTGGAATATTTATTAAGGATACTTAAACCTTTAAGGAAATTCCAAGGTTTTAGAGATAATCTCTCAGGAATCTAGGACAAAAAAAGTCTTTGGACAAGGTTAAATTCTTTACCCTACCTCACACTTTATAGTTGTACTTAGCTTAATGCCATACATACATTGCCAACTGGGGATTTTTATATGTGGAATTGGTTCTTGTGTTGGATTTTGGAGTCATGATTTTGAGTAGGGAGGTCAGGCACTCAGTCGGAAGCCCAGAGAAATGATCTAAACAGGTCACACAAGAAATGAATGGCCAAACTAGACTAAACTTTCACTATTTCCAGTCCAGAGATTGGCTTTTAAGTGTTTCATCATATTCCAAGTAATCTTTATAAGGGGTGGGGAGGAGAAAAGAATGCATAATTGAAAAAAGTCCATTAAGCCCCCCACAAATATTTCTTGAGTGTGTAATGCTCAGAAAGAGGGACTCTTTCTGAGTGTAAGGCTAGTTCCAGCAGCCCAGCAGATATTCCTCATGGACTTTATTCTGCAGTCCTGGCAGAAGACAGAGAAACCAAAATAATCCTAATGTAAACAAAAGGAGCTCTGGTAGCGTAGTGGTTACGAATTGGGCTGCGAACCGCAAGGTCAGCAGTTCGAAACTACCAGCTGTTCCCTGGGAAAAAGATGAGGCTTTCTGCTCCCATAAAGATTTATAGCTCTGGAAACCCTGTACAGGGTCGCTATGGGTTGGAACTGACTCCACGGCACTTAACAACAACAACAACAACAATAAAGAAAACAAAAAAGTCAGGTGGTGGCTACTGCTATGGAAAAAACCGAAGCAGGGAGATATAATAAGCTTAGGACGTGCCGGGGGCAGAGTCAAATCTTGAAAACTGAAGCTGAAATCTTGACATCTTTCCTAAAGTATTCAAATAGCCCACACTCAGACTGTGGGTCATTCTCCAAGGACACCTCACTAGTCCTTCTACCGTGGATCCATTTAGTTGTCCGTATTTGAGGACTAAAGTGAAACTTTCGTTTCCTTTGTTGTTGTTGCTGTTGTTAAGGGCCATTGAGTTGATTCCAGGTTGGAAATGCTGACCTTGGAGTTTGAAGTTCAGTGCTTATCCTACAATGCCACACCAGGAATCCCTAAGCACTCAGAAATGCAGTTCTAGGAACATTTTCTGCCTGTCTAACAATAATTGAAGTCCTGGTGTGGCAGTTAATGTGCCAGATTGCAAAACCGTTTGAACTACAAGGTTGGCGGTTCAAGCTCACCAGCTGCTGCTTGGAAACCCTATATAGGGTTGTATGGGTCGGAATTGACTTGACGGCACTTGACAACAACAACAACAACAACAACAACAATAATGGATGCTGTCGTGAGTTGACGCCCACTCACAGAGACCCCACTGCCACAGAACAGAAGGTAGCTGAGTCCTCAAATCTTCGGGGTGTGCCCCCCAAACCACACGGCCCTCCTTCCACTACATTATCAGACAACATTCTGGGGTGCTCTATGGTGTTGTCACTGGCTGAGTTTTGGAAGTGGATCACCAGGCCTTACTTGTGAATCTGCCTTAATCTGGAAGCTCTGCTGAAACTTGTCCACCTTGGTGAACCTGCCACTATGTGAAACAACAGGGGCATAGCTTGCTTCATCACTGCAACATGTAAGCCAGCATAGTACATGCACTGACTGAGGGCTGGTAGAGTTTATATACAAATATGTTGTTGTTAGATGCCGTGGAGTCAGTCCCTACTCACAGTGACCCTGTAGAGGGGTTCCAAGACTTAATCGTATGGGTGCAGAAAGCCTCATCTTTCTCCCACAGAATGGACTAGCAGGTTTCAACTGCCGATCTTGTGGTTAGTAATCCAGTGCTTATCCTATAGTGTCACCAATACTCCATATACAAGTATTGTTGTCAAGTGCTGTCGAGTCAGTTCCGACCCATAGTGACCCTGTGTAGGGTTTCCAAGGTGCAGCCTGATGGGGTTGAACTACCAACCTTGTGGTTAGTGGTCCAGTGATGATCTTACAGCACCACGCCAGGTCTCCGTATGCAAGTATGTTGTTGTTGTTGTTAAGTGGCATCGAGTCAGTTCTGACTCATAGCAACCCTGTATAGGGTTTCCAAGGCTGTAAATCTTTATGGAAACAGAAAGCCTCATCTTTCTCCTGGAGAACCACTGGTAGTTTCGAACTGCTGACGTTGAGGTTAGCAGCCCGACTCGTAACCACTACGCTATGTGCTCTTTGTTAAAAATCTTGTAGAGATCATATAGTAGATTATGTAAGAAAATGTAAAAATAAAAATCATCCATATTCCCACATTTAGAGATCATTAATGTAAACATTTAAGTCTGGAAAGATATAATGTTCTGTAAGAACATGCTGTTCTCTGGGAATTAGACAAAATCTGCCCAGTGCTTTACTCACAGTTGTGTTTCTGAAATGTAATTTTTTTCATAGTAATAAACTGAAACCCACGTCAAGACTTATGAGTAGAGGACATAGTCGAATAAATGATAATATGTCCATAAATAGAATCATTAGGAGTGATGTATAGTATAAAATCAGTTCTGAAAAGAACTTTTACAAATGTATGCAGATGTTTGTTTTAGGGTGCTAAGTTTAAAAACCAGAGTACACAACTGTATTTGCAGTGAATTACAAATCCATGTATGTATGCAAGGACAAGAACCCTGTTGTGGTATGGTAGGATAAGCACTGGACTGCTAACCGCAAGGTCACAAGTTCAAACCCACCAGCCACTCTCAGATACCCTATTGTTTTGTGTTGGAACTGACTTGACAACACACAACAACGACAATGTATGGACAACGATGTAAAGAACTCAGGCAGGAGGATCTTCATGCTAGGCACGAAGGCGAGTTCTATTTCCTTGTTTACAGGTGATCCCCAGTTTATGAACTTCCTACTTACACACTAACTCACAGTTATGAACCCCAGTAAAGGCTATTATATTAGAAATCCAAGGTACATTTGTACAGTGGTTCATAATAACAAACAAATGCTACTTTTAACTCATACCAAAACTTATTGTTATTACTATACTATTATGCTAAGAAGGTGCATTGTTAGCATAATGGATTATGAGGTGGGCTGCTAACTATAAGGTCAGCAGTTCGAATCTACCAGTTACTCTGTGGGAGAAAGATGAGGCTTTCTGCTCCTGTAAAGATTTACAGCTTCAGAAACCCTATACAGGGTCACTATGAGTCCAAACTGACTCAGTGGCACACAGTCACCCCCACCACCATTATCTTAATTTAAGACTAGACTGCTAATCACAAGTTAACCACTGCTAACCACAGTGAAGAGCAGAGATGTCAGCTTGAGGACTAAGGTGCTCCTGACCCAGGCCATTGTGTTTTCAATAGCTTCATATTGATGCGAAAGCTGGACAGTGAATAAGGAAGATCGTAGAAGAATTGATGCCTTTGAGTTGTGGTGTTGGAGGAGAATACTGAAAGTGCCGTGGACTGCCAAAAGAACCAATAGATCTGTTTTGGAAGAAGTGCAGCCAGAGTGCTCCTTGGAGGCCAGGATGGCTAAGCTTTGTCTCTCCTACTTTGGACATGTAGTCCGGAGGAAACAGTCGCTGGAGAAGGATGTCATGCTGGATAAGGTGGAGGGTCAGAGAAAAAGAGGAAGACCCCCAACGAGATGGATCAGCCAGGTGGCATCATTGATGGACTCAAGTGTGGCAGCGGTAGTGAGGTTGGCTCAGGATCGGACATTGTTTTGTTCTGCTGTGCATGGGGTCGCTATGAGTCGGTTCTGACTTGATGGCACCTGACAACAACAACAACAACCACAAGGTTGGCGATTCAAACCCACCAGCCATTCCTTGGAAACCCTATACAGGATCAATGTGAGTCAGAATCGATTTGATGGTATTTAACAACAGCAACAATATTATGTTAAAGATGTTTCATTGTGTCTGGAAGGATTTCTTGAACTTTTCTTATATATGCGTCCTATACAGTATACTGAGACACATTTGACTTTAGATAGAAGCCATAGCTTCTATTCTGACTTAAAGACAGAATTAGGAATGGAACTTGTTTGTAATCCGGACACTGCTTTGATAATCTTCTGTATGGTCCTAAATTTCTATAATGAGTATATATCATTTCTATGATCACAGTTTTTATTTTTTGTTCTTTTAATGAAGGCACAAAAATTTTAAGTGTTCACTACAAATAGTATTTCTCAAAGCCAAGAATCTGAAGGAAATCCATGAAGAATACAAATACCTAAAGAGCCTGTCCAGGTGGTTAACAGACACGCTCCCTGCTCCCATGAAAGTACAACCATGGTACACTTTGTTAGATACAAATGAAGATGTCTGCACAGTTTCACCCTCCACGCATTAAACTCACAAAGGAAAACAAGAGTTGATGAGACCCCCTCGGTGTCACCAGGGAGGACTTGATGAGACCCCCTCGGTGTCACCAGGGAGGACTTGTCCAGGATTGCCTGTGTGAGTTTTCTTGGTAGTAATCAGTTCCATCAGGGCTGGGAACAGCCCGCCCTCAATGCTGCTGGCTCCTCCTCTGTGGTGGGACCAGCCCTCCTTAACAGTGCTCAGAGCACCCTCTGCTTCTCACCCATCCGCTCAGATCCCTGTCCACACTGACCATGGCCACCTTCGTGGAGCTCAACACCAAAGCCAAGATGCCCATTGTGGGCCTGGGCACCTGGAAGGTAGATATGCATGTGTGTGGCCACATGCCTCCCTCCTGGGGCTCTTGGCCATGTTGCCCTGTCTGTGATCAACAGGGAAACTGCCAAGGGGTGGAGAGTGGGGAGGGAGATCTCACCCTGGTCCCTGCTTCAGCAGAGTCAGGCTCCAAACATCCAGAGGGGCTTTACTCAACTTGGCCAGAGCTTCCCAGCTAGGATCCAGTTTTAAGCAGATGTTGGGCTGAGAAACAGACTTGTTTCCCAGGGAAGTTCTAGAAGACTTTCCTCTGCTCTCGGCTCCTTGGTTCTGGGACCTTTAAAGGGGCCACACACTGCCCCAGCCCTGGTGGGTGGTTGAGATGAGGAGACAGGGGAGTTCAGTCCTGTGACCCTAGCTGTAGACAGTGTGGTCCTGGGATCTGCTTAGAAATTCAGGTTCTCAGACCAACCCAGGCCTTCTGCATTGGGGGTGGGGTCCCCTTGCAGTTCAAGTTCCCGAAGTGCAACCTTCCTGAATAAGCCTAGCACCTGGGTGGGGAGTCTGGCTCCGATTTTTCCCAGCTGCGTCATTGGTGGATACAGGTACAGTCTACACCCTAGAGCCCAATGAAGCAGCCTAGGTGCTTCTCTTAGTTCACCATTCTTTACTTAGAATATTGTCCCATTCTCTTCCAACTCTGCCTTCTGCCTTCTTTTGCATTTCCCACTGTTGTTGGTGGGTGTCCTGCAGTTGGCTCTGACTCATGTACCACAGAATGGAACATGACTTGGTCCTGCGCCGTCCTCACGACTGTTCTGATGTGTGAGGTCATTGTTTCAGCCACCCTAACTAGTAGTTGTTGTTGTTAGAGCCCTTGGGTTGATTGAGACCCTGTGTGATGTATATGACAGCATAGAACTGCCCTGTTTCTAAGCTGCAATCTTCCATGGAAGCCGCCTGTCAGATCTTGCTCCTGAGGAACCAGTGAATGGATTGAAACCACTGACTTTTCTATCTTCTGGTTAGCAGACAGTGCTTAACCGACACTTAAGATTCTTCAGCTCCAGGTCACTGTTCTCCTTTGCACCCTTCTTTCCAGCTCCTTTACTGCAGAGGGTGATATCCTGTGGTCCCAGCGCTGGGCCTTTCTCAGGAAGCTCACTGGATCCATCTGGGGGGAGTAGATGAACCCCAGCCTCTCTTCCTGGGACAGGGCTGTTTCATCCCAATCAGAGCCACGGCTCTGTACAAACATGACCAAAAATGGATTCATGACCTCAAGAACCTCTGCTCACCCAGAAAAATGGCAGAACAGTTTTCTGAATTAGATGTGAGCATGTGGAGGGAACCCCTTCAGGTTCGGGGCACAGTGGAACGGTGGGAGGACCTGGGGAGGCTGAGTTACTGTCCTGCCCACTTCTTGTCCAGAGCTGCACAGTTTGTTTTGTCAGCTTTTCAGTGTGTTTGTTATTTCATCACAGAAGACCTTTGAAAAAGGTTTGGCGGAAGTTCCGTATACAACCCTTTTCTTCCCTTTCTCTTTATAATTGCTGGATTGGCCAGGCTAGATTAAAACGTGTGGTGTTGTGGGTTAATGCGTCAGATTGCAAAGCCATTTGAACTGCAAGGTCGGCAGTTCAAGCTCACCAGCTGCTCCTTGGAAACCCTATACAGGGTCGCTGTGGGTCGGAACTGACTCAACGGCACTTAACAACAACAACAATATTTCTGATGTGGTTTCCTTTTATTTGCCCTCAAGGACAAAAGGATTTCCTTTTCCCCCCTTTTCTGCAACAGTACTTTTGTGATAGTTCACCACCACCCAAGGCTTACTGGGCCCCTATGCTGAATGTTTTCCATCCACTGGTGCCCTTAACTAACCCAACCATCCCCTGAGGCGGGTGTTGTTATCAGTCTCATTTTGGGGGAAGGCCAAGGCCCTAGCGGCCCTGGAGCCTGGATTTATCTGAACTGATCTTCAAGAGCCTTATCACTGTTTGGAGAACTTTACTGCCATTTCTTTTCTGCCAGATCATTTCCAAGGGCAGTTTTCAGCCTGGTCTTTACAAAGGGGTGACCAGGAACCACAGTCACCCCCTCTTTAGAAAGGAGCCATGAGTCATGCACACCCATCTGGGGACCTGTCAGGTCTGAAAGGTTAACCTGTAAAGAGTAATCAACTTTTGGTTAGAATGAAGTATGAGCTAAAATCACAAAGCCAACCTGCTTTCTGTGCCCTGATGTCCTCTGGAAACTGGGGCCCCAGTGCAGCCATGGCTTGGTGAGCTGGGCCACATAGGGGTGTCCTAGGGAGGTGGTCAAGGGATGAGAGCACATGATGGTCTTCTCCTTAGTCTGCTCCAGGTCAAGTCAAAGAGGCTGTGAAGACAGCCATTGATGCGGGGTACCGCCACATCGACTGCGCGTTAGTGTACAAGAACGAGAGTGAGGTGGGGGAGGCCATCCAGGAGAAGATCCAAGAGAAGGTTGTGACACGAGAAGACCTCTTCATCGTCAGCAAGGTGCCCAAGGCCTGTGGGGTAGGAGGGAGGTCTTAACCTCAGGGCAGCCAGAAGTGTTTGGCTTGGTCAACACCAAGGATTCTTCAACCTTTCCTATAAGCACAAAGTTGTTTGCCAGCTTTATGCTATATAACCTACCCAGTACCCTCATAACCACACTCCCAGCCAGAATGGAATGGAAGATGCTGCCCCTGGACTCCTTCCCTGAATTGGATTTCCATTGTGGGAATCCAATCCACTGAGCCACAGTGATGTTCGTGACCTCCTTGTCCATCATGGGATGTAGATGTTCAGTGTTGATCACTGGCTGAGCATATAGTCAGGGATGGATCCAGAAGCCACCTTTTCAGACAGTGGTTTTTAGAATTCAGCTCAGAGGGTCTCTACAGGGGCTGTTTGGAAAACCTTGAGAGTCTTTTTTTATTTCACATATGAATTTCATTCTCTTTCAGCATAGTAGAAGGCCTGTTAGCAAATGTTATAAAAAAAGGGAAATATTGGTCTGTAGGGTTGAGGGCAGCTTCAGGTACTGGAAAGAGCATGTACCATGTATAGTGTTGAGTCTGGGTGGGCTCTGTGAGAAGTCTTCCTGGGGGCCTAACAGACTGGAGACTCAGTGCTGCACAAAGAGGACCTTCTCCCCAAGGCAGAAGAGAGATCGGAGTCTAAGTTAGACACAATTCCTGCTCTCAGTGCTCTATAGCTAAGTGAGGAGTCAGAGTCCAATGTGTCCACTGACAGGAGGGACACATAACATGCTAGGAGAGCTGAACAAAGAAGCTGCCCTCAACACTCAGGAGTTGCCTTAACCTGATGAGCCCTGGTGACCACGCCCACCTGCCTCACGGTCTGAACCATCCCCAGGTTAGACCCAGGGGCAGGCCACTGAGGTGACGCAGCCCTCCTTCCCAGCACTGACCCTGGGTGTCTCTCTCTGCAGCTGTGGCCCACCTTCTTTGAGAGGCCCCTGGTGAAGGAAGCCTGTCAGAAGACCCTCAAGGATCTGAAACTGGACTATCTGGACATTTACCTGATTCACTGGCCTCAGGGGCTTCAGGTTGGAGCCACTCCCGACCCTTTTCATTATTAAGTCAATGTCGAGGTCTCCTCTGAGTCCGCTGTGGAACTGCTGAGGGGAGAGCTCTTTCCCTTCACGCCTGCAAATGGCAAGTGACCAACAGGCTGTGATGGAGCCAAGGACTGGCTGTCAGGGATGCCAAGTCTGTGGTGTGGAGTTGGCCATGTGAGGGGTCTTCTCTCAGTTTGTCTGAGAGGGCCAAGGTTTTCTGGCAGCCCACAGAGGTTGTCCTTGTCCTGATTCCCTGTCCAGGACGCCTCTCCTGGGAAAACTCCTGGGAGAGGGACTATCCCATCACAGCACTTCAGGGCTCAACCCTCTTGTAATCGAAGCACCCTGGGTGTGACATGTTGGAGATAAGCACAACAATGCTTGCTCCTGAAGGATCTCTGGTAGCGTAGTTGTTACAAATCAGACTGCTAACCTCAAAGATGAGGCTGTCTGCCCCTGTAAAGATTTGCAGCCTCAGAAACCTGTGCAGGGTCACTATGAGTCGGAACCGACTCCACACTACTTAACAACAACAACATGCTTGCTCCAGAGGGTGATCCATCCTCACTGAAGACTCAGAACGCCTTTCCTGGGCTTCCCTCTGCTCCTGTAAAGTGGGAGGCAATATGATGCCCAAATCTCCTGTCTCATGTCCCGCCAGGGGATCAGCAGGATACCATCCTCCCTCCAGGTGTCTGAGCCACCATGGGAGAAATGTACCAGCATCTTCTCCAGGAAACCCACACTTGAGACCCAACGTTTGTCTCCTGGTCTTGAAATTAGCTTGTCCTCACGTGTATATGGGCCCATGTGTGCCCAGGGTGATAATGGTGGCTTTTAGAATGTATTAAGGATGGATTTTGAAATCTGCCAGCAGTTTCTAAAATACGAGAATTTACTTTAAGACAGTGGAGTGGTTTATAGATTTCATTTAATGTCAAGATTTTTAAAGTTGTAGCCTAGGGCCTGAAAAGACAGCGTGCAGGTGTGGTTTAGCTGATGAGGGAAGTTCAGGAATCTGAAACCCCGGGACCAGAACTCAGGTATTCAGCGCAGATTCTAGCTTAAGCTTTTTTGGTTTTTGTTTACAGCCTGGGATGGAAATGATCCCCAAAGATGACAAAGGCAATGTATTACTTGGTAAAACAACATTCGTAGATGCCTGGGAGGTAGGTACCAGCTTTTTCTAAACAAAAACTTTCCATCGGTGATCTGTGTTCTCCATGCTATGGAAAAAATGGTTTATTCATCTTAAAAAAAAAAATCTCATAATGCATTCCTAATAATATGGACTCCTAGTGTGGCACTGTAGGATAAGCACTCAACTTCA